CGCCGCGGGCGCCGATTTGTTCGTTAAACCCATGTGGGTAGGTCGCGGGTGGGTCGCGGGTGGGTCGCTGTTGGGTCGCGGGTGGGTCGCGGTTGGGTCGCGGGTGGGTCGCGTGTGGGTCGCGGGTGGGTCGCTGTTGGGTCGCGGGTGGGTCACGGGTGGGTCGCGGGTGGGTCGTGGGGTGGGTCGCGGGGTGGGTCGCGGGTTGGTCGCGGGGTGGGTCGCGGGTGGGTCGTGGGGTGGGTTGCAAATGGGTCGCGGGTTGGGTCGCGGGTGGGTCGCGGAGTGTGTCGCGGGGTGGGTCGTGGGGTGGGTCGCGGGTGGTCGCGGGGTGGGTCGCGGGTGGGTCGCGGGTGGGACGACAACAAACAAACAAACAATCAAACAACCAACAACAACGCAACAAGCAGAATCCTCACCACGGATCCCCACTTCAGCCAAGCACCCAGGGACAATGAGTAACCGTTCGGCCCCCTCACTCTGAACATAGATGCATATAAGTAGACACGTGTGTAGCAATATCACGCATCCTCGTTAGCTTTATTTTTTGTCTATCCATCCAAATTATCGCTTCTTCTTCCTTCCGCTGCCCGGCTGATGCATACCACTCTTTGTGATGGTGATGCCCTGGATGCGCACCTGTATGCTCGTAGTGGGCGCGGGAGCGCCGCCAAGGCCCTGGGAAGCTGCACTGCGAGAGAGCGCGAAGCGCTCCCATTCGTGAACTCGTGGGGGGCCAGCTCGCGAATCTTACTCTCAAGGTGCATTTTTTGCTCTTGCGTAACATCATGCCCAACAATTGACGACACGACTCGTGCGCAACCATCTACCGAAAGATTGCATCTTTGATCGTAGGACTGTTCTTCCGCGGTGCAGGGCGGCGGCGGCCATGATGCGGTGAACTTGCCCCTGATCTCGTTCATCTGCTCGTGCATCATCCGGCACATGGCCGGGTCAAACTCTGTCATCATCTGGCTGGCGGTTGCGGCATCCACCAGGGGGGCGTCAGCACGAACACCATGAGCAGGGTCAACAACGTCACCTTCATTATGACCGCCTCCATGTCCATGTCCAGGATCAGGCTGTCGGCCTTCATCCAACACCAGGGGCCTAGAACCTTCACGCGTACCTTCGCCGCCAGGACCATCAACATGGTGAGCATGATTACGCAGCATTATACATTATACCTGGCACACGTCTGCCTCCAGCGTCGGTCTCCACTTGCACCCAATCGTAAGACACCCCATTCTGTAGGACGGAGGTAAGCTGCAAACCGTTCTGCTTGAAGCTTCCCAGAGAAGAAGCACCAATCGATGGCAAAGGGTGCAAAACAATGCTGATAAACGTTTCTCCTAAACTCTTCCTATGTCCACGCTGAACTGCAATAGTTTCGTTGAGGCCCGTAAGCACTGAAGACAGCTAGAATATAGCAATGTTGTTGCGCATCGCAGAACGAATCGAGTCACGAGAACAATCTTCATAATAACGCGATCTTCATGTGTTGCCAGTATCATTCTAATTTGACGGCCCTGCCGCAACTGATCGAGAACCCAAGCGATGCGAGAGGCCGTGACCATTGATCGCACAGGTTGTGGAAGAGCGCGAAACACAATGTATGGCAAGTGCTATACGATCCGTCGATCGATCTATCTACTGATCGATTCCCACTATCTATCTGTCGCTGTCACTATCGAAATCGGGTCGGGCGAAAGGGGGGGATAGCAAAGGGGGGGTTGAGAATCAGCTCACGTAGCTGATTTTCTCGGCGCCTCCCGGCGCCGGAGGCGGCTATGTATCGAGGAATGGGCCCCTCGGTGAGGCCGAAACCAGCTGCATGCAGCAAATTTCGTAACCCCCCCTTTCCCAATCCCCCCCTTTCGTCCAGCCCGACGAAAGCAGGGTACCACTCTATATGTTGATAAATCTATGTAGATGCATGTTTATGTCATCGTACGTGAGAGCGCGTGGACCCTGCAGATTTCACTACCTACCTACCGCTGTGATTTCGCCATAGCATCGTCGGGACCGTTCCTCTGGCCCGCACACGCAACTTCGTCTCGCCCGCCCGAAGCAATCGTCGGGGCAGTCCGGCGGACCTCCATCCCACTTCGATCTCACCCGCAAGCCTCGGATGTCTACCTCGATACCAATTTCGATCCATCGCTCTCGCGATCTATGCATTTACAGATATGACTCTATAGACGGGTCTCCATCATTATCGACCGATCTCGCTATCTATCGCTCGAAATTGCTACTCAATGGGCCCGTGGAACTGTAAGTCTATAAAGACAATAAAGAAATGCACGTGCATATGTGTATATAAATGCCTCGCGATAGATCTACCGATCTCACTAGGGACCACTCAATTCATCATCAAGGCATCCATCGGGACAGCCATCGGACCAACCATCGGGACAACGATTGGGACAACCATCAGGATAACAATCAGGATAACCATCGCGACAATCATTGGGACAGCCGAGGGACAACCGCGGGACAACCACGAGACAACCAAGGGACAACCATCGGGGCTACCATCGGGACAACCATCGAGACAACACTCGGGACAACCATCGGGCCAACCGTCGGGACAACCATCGGGGCACTTATCGGGACAACCATAGGGCAAGCGCGGGACAACCCTGGCGCCAAATCCGCCATCCGCGCTGGGGGGGGGAGTCCTGTGCTCCGACAATCCCCTGGCAACGGAGGGATCACGTCTCCAGCCCGCGCACGCAGCCTCACCTCGCCCACACGCGCGGCAAGAACGCGAAACCAATTCCTATGTTCCTGTGCCGGGGTCTCGTTTGCACTGCGAGTTCGCCGCAAACCTCCGATCTACCGATCGATCGAACCCACAATACATAAACCGATCACGCTATATTGTATTCAGAGGTCAATCGATCTCACGATCTCGACATATCAATATCATGATCGACCCCTCGATCTAACGGTCTACCGATCGATATCGGTATCGATGTGCGTGTGTGTGGATCGATATATCTGTGCCGGCCTCACCATTTATCGATCAAACACAGTATCAATCAACCAATCGACCATCGGCACAAACTCGGGACAACCATACGGACAACGGGGCAACCATTAGGACAATCATCGGGATAACCATCGGGACAACTATCGGGACAACCCCGTCGGGTGCACCATCGGAGCAACCATCGGGACAACCATGGTGCGACCGCGGGGCTACCATAGCCTCAAATCCGCCAGACGGGGTGTGTGTGTGTGGGGGGGGAATCCTTTGCTCCGACATTTCCCTGGCAACGGAGGGATACCTCCACTCGCTGGCGCACGCACCTTCGCCTCGCCCACACGAATGGCACGAACACGAAACCGATTTTCCGGTGGGTGTTTCCGTTCTACTACGTTCTCGCCCGCCCAACCTCCGATCCTCTGCACGCAAAGGTTGAAGGAACGGGGACGGAGCGGAAGAGGACGAGGAGGGAGGTGAAAGGGGTGAAGGACACCATGGGCAGTAGGGAATAATGCAAGTTGGGGAAATCGGAGGAAGGGATGGGGCAGGAACGAGGATGAATATAAGCAAGTGGTGGAGATGATGATGGAAGGAAGGGTGGTGATGGTGGTGATGATGATGGTGATGGGGGAGGCGGCAAACAGGTACTGATACCGCTATTCCCCAGGATCTCTCCAGGGGTCCGTCCTGGCCAAAATTGGGAGGCGCACCCAGCCGTGGCGACCAGGCAAAGGTGGCGGTAGATCGACACCTTAAGGTCGGAAACGTTTGCTGTGCGTGTCGCGGCGGCGGCCCTGGCGACACGATGTGCCCTGCGACCCGCTGGAATGTCGCTCCGCTCCGCGGGGCGGGAGGTTTCTCTCGGGAAGTTGGTGCTCGGGGACTGGGGCATGGCTAGCGTGTCGCTCCAGAACGCGGTGGGACAGAACCGGCTGTGCGTCACGCTGGCCACGAAATCTTGGGCGTATCTGGGGGACGAAAAGGTACCGAGACCGCTACTCCCCAGATCCCTCCCTCCCTGGGTGCCTTCCGACCAGAATTTCGGGGCGAATCCAGCGGTGGCGACGAGCTCTTCCCAGGAGGCCCCAAGAGGAAAGGAGAGAAAGGTGGCGATATGGATAACCTTGTCCTCCTCTGAAGAACATCAACGTTTGTTTGGAACGCCTTCGCTGGCGTCGCCGGCGCGCCATCGCCGCATGAACAGGCCGTACAAGATCGAAGGCCTTTCCTCCTCCTCCTCCTCAGCCTCCTCCTCCTCCTCAGCCTCCTCCTCCTCCTCCTCCTCCTCCTCCTCCTCCTCCTCCTCATCCTGCGTTTCTGCGTTTCGCGCTCCACAAGCGTACCTCCGCCCGCCGAAGCGCCCGACCGCCGCGGGCGCGGCGGAGCGCAGCCAGGGGACGCGCGAGCGAGCGAGCGACGAGCGAGGCCAGCAGCGAAGGCAGCAGCAGGCAGGCGGCAGCCAGCGGAAGGGAAGAGAGAGGACAACTATATGGGAACAAGGGCAGATTCCCCTCCTCCTCCTCCCCCTCCCCCTCCCCTCCTCCTCCTCCCCTCCCCCTCCTCCTCCTCCTCCTCCTCCTCCTCCTCCTCCTCCTCCTCCTCCTCCTCCTCCTCCTCCTCCTCCTCCTCCTCCTCCTCCGCCCCCTCCTCCTCCTCCTCCTCCTCCTCCTCCTCCTCCTCCTCCTCCTCCTCCTCCTCCTCCTCCTCCTCCTCCTCCTCCTCCTCCTCCTCCTCCTCCTCCTCCTCCTCCTCCTCCCCTCTCTCCTCCTCCTCCTCCTCCCTCCTCCTCCTCCTCCTCCTCCTCCTCCTCCTCCCTCCTCCTCCTCCTCCTCCTCCTCCTCCTCCTCCTCCTCCTCCTCCTCCTCCTCCTCCTCCTCCTCCTCCTCCTCCTCCTCCCCCCCTCCTCCTAAGTTTGCCCGCGACTGTTCTTGTTGCTCCTCGAGGCGCCGTGCGCGAGCGGCGCTCGTGCGCCTCGTGGCGCGGCCCGGCGGCGGGGGGGGCGGGGCGCCTCGAGGCGCTGCGGGCGGGGCGGCACGGGGCTGCCCGCTCGCCGCTCCGGCGGCGGCGGGGCCGCGCTGCTCGGGGCGGGGCGGGCCTCGGGGCTCCTCGGGCGGAGGGGCGAGGAGCCAGGAGCGAGGGTCGAGGATGTCGAGGATGTCGAGGATGTCGAGGATGTCGAGGATGTCGAGGACGTCGAGGGTCGAGGATGTCGAGGATGTCGAGGATGTCGAGGATGTCGAGGATGTCGAGGATGTCGAGGATGTCGAGGGTCGAGGATGTCCAGGGTCGAGGGTCGAGGATCGAGGTTTCAGATTTGAGAAACGAGGATCGATCGAGGGTCGAGGGTCCAGGATCCATCGAGGATCGAGGGTGGAGGGGCGAGGATCGAGAGCGATGCAGGGTCGAGGGGAGCGACGGAGAGCGGCGGCGACTCTCTCTCTTTGTCGGCGGCGACCTGGGCCCAAGCCGCGGCCGAGGCAGCCGGGGACGCCTCGGAGCCCGAAAAGGGCACAGGGGCGATAGGAAGGGCGCAGAGGGAGAAAGAAGCCACGGGCGGCGGAGCGTTGACCTAAGGAAGGGCGAAGAGGGAGAATGAAGCCACGGGCGGGCAGAGGGAGAATGAAGCTACGGGCGGGCAGAGGGAGAATGAAGCCACGGGGCGAAAGGAAGGGCGCAGAGGGAGAATGAAGCCACGGGCGGGCAGAGGTAGAATGAAGCCACGGGCGGGCAGAGGGAGAATGAAGCCACGGGCGGCGGAGCACGCTCAGACCGTGAAGATCCCGTACAGTCGGGGCGTTGACCTGAGGAACCCTAAAGAAGGAACGAGGCCCCTTTTTACCCCTAAGTTGGACTTCGATTTCCGATGGCAAACAGAGAGGAAAACCTGAGACAAGCTGTGAAACACGTAAGGAACGCGGAGCCCCTCCCCAACCAAAAGGGTTCCTTCTTCAGGGCCCCGACTGTACGTGTGCGCCAGAGCCCATGCGAACCGGTGGTGAGAACGACGGCAACAAGCAGGCAGAGGAAAGGAGACAGGCAGGGGATGACGCAGGAACAAAACAACAATGACGACACAGGGCAGAGCGAACACGGCACCTCTGGAGCACACCCTGGTACACTCGAAACTGAACGCAGGCTTCTTGTGGCGCGCAAGAGAAAACTCTGCACCAAAAAACCTTGCCATCTCTTGGGAGGCCGATCTGCTGGAGGCCTCCTGGATGGGGTCCGAGCAGATGGGGATGCAGGATCGCCGATGCATCGTCGAAACATCGCCGATGCATCGGTGATACATCGGCAATGCTCGGGGATGGACAGACCCCCCTTTAGTAAAAGGTGGTTTAGTGAAAACGACCTGAGGCCCGAACTTGGCGGTCGCAAGCCTGGAAAATAGCGGCCACGGCGCCCTCTCGAAAACCGAAAACGGACAATTCACTAATCGACGTGTCACTGTTGGGGGTTCTGTCCACCCCCGAAATGCATCGGCAATGCATCGGTGACGTCGGCGGTGCCTCGGCGACGCCGACACGGAGAACATCTGGCCTCACCTCGAGCTGCACCGCCGAGGCGTACCGGCGACGTGGCGAGATCCGCCGAGGGCCTCGGCCCGCCGAGGGCCTCGATCGTCCCATCCCCTATCTCCACAAGTGCACAACACGAAAGGATTGCAATCCTGTTTTTTTTGTGTGTGTTTTTTTGCAATCCTGGTTTTTTGTTTGCAATCCTGGGTTGTTTTTGCAATCACGTTGTTTTTGTTTGCAATCCTGGGTTGTTTGTTTTTTGTTTTTTTTCTGCTCCCCTCGATCTCCTGATGACGTCCGGAAGATATCCCGCCCCCCTCCGCGTGCTTGTGTTTTACACGCAAGGTTCTCGGGAAACGAGCGTTCGCTCGGGTCTGTTGTCCAAAATGTTGCTCCCGCTGAGGCGCTGGCCTCATTTCTGCGCTTCCGCTCGTTCCGAACCGTGCGCTGCAGCGCTGGCGTCATCATTTCCAGTGCCATGCCACGGCACAGTCCGCGGTCCTTCCAAATAGGCCCCGAAATCCAGAAAATGCGCCCCCGAAAAACATCGGAAGTGATTACACATTCGGTGTCGATTCGCTGATTTCTTGGGCCGCGGAAGCCCCCCACCCCCAACTTTGGGGCGTCGCCGCGCCATCCTATGCCATGCTACGGGGAGATCTTCAACACCATGCTGTGCCACGTAATGCTACGCAACGCTGCGACATCCGACGGTGCAAATCGAGAGGAGATCTACGCCATGGTAAGGGATGATGGGAGGGAGGGATAGGACGTCAGATATGACGCGAGCGCACCTAGCCTGCCCTCTCTCCCTCCTCCTCCTCCTCCTCCTCCTCCTCCTCCTCCTCTTCTTCTGTTTCTTCGTCCTCCTCCTCCTCTTCCTCCTCCCCCCCTTCTTCCTCCTCCTCCTCCTCCTCCTCCTCCTCCTCCTCCTCCTCCTCCTCCCACTCCTCCTCACTCACCCTCCGCCTCCCTCTCCTCCTCCCCCTCTTCCTCCCCGTCCTCCTCCTCCCCCACTTAATTTTCTGTTGCCTGCCTGCAGCTCCCTCTGCTTCCCTTTTCGACTCCCTCTCCCAGGCTGCGTCTATCTTAGTCGTGATGCTGACTAGGTACACGTCACTTAAATGTGCCACCTCCCATTGCGGGGTTGGTTGTGACGCTGGCGTGGTTTTTGTGCAGACGCACGGTGGGGAGAGGACAGGGCCGTGCTAAGACGCATCGTAAGCTCCCTGGTTTTGTGATGGAGCACGATTGGTGCTTCTCCGGGAATCCTTTTACGTGATTATCCTCCTCCTCCTCCTCCTCCTCCTCCTCCTCCTCCTCCTCCTCCTCCTCTTGCTTTTCTTCCCTCTCCTCCTCCGCTTTCTCCTCCTCCCCCTCGATCCATCGAGGGTCTTGAATCCCCTTCCCCCCTTCCCCATTCCTTTTCCTTATACATCGCCTGAGCCCCCCTCATCATTTGCAACCCTGAAGCTTCACCATTGGCAACTGGCTTGCAAAACGTGGCTCTCGCCTCAGCGCCGCGCACACGCGTCTCAACCATACTATAAACCTTTCCCAGGGCTTCACGGATTGAGGGCGGCCCGTCCTCACAATGTGGCGTCCGCCTGAGCGCCGAACACACTCGCTTCAACCATGTATGAAAACTTCACGGATTGAGGGCGGGTGGTGTTTCAAAATGCGGTGTTCGCCTTAGCGCCGCGCACACTCGTCGTAAACAACTGCCGAAGAGCTTCACGGATTGAGGGTGGCTCCTTTTCAAAATGTGGCTCTCGCCTGAGCGCCGCGCACATTCGTTTCAAACATTTGCCACAGCTTCACGGATCGGGGGCGGTTCCTGTTCAAACTGTACCTATCGCCTCAGCGCGCACACTCGTCCTAAACATGTGCAACCATTTCACGGTTTCCAATGGTTGACATACCAAGACAACGGGGCTTTGGAGCGACTCAGGATTGCCAGGGTGCAGCAGTTACACGGACTCGCGGAGCTGAAGTCCCAGGAATGGGCTCTGGCACGGTTCAGGATCGTCAGGGCGCAACAGCCAAAGTCATGCGTGGTGTTGAAGTCCCGGGAATGCTGTTTTGGCACGCCTCGGGATCTTCAACCAGTCTCCCAACGTGGCACGTCGTTCAATGGAAACGAGTCCGTGTTGGGGCAAATTAAGACGTAACTGAAGGAACAACTTTATTCCAACAGCGTTGAAGAGTATTGGGTTTACACTGGTCCTCCTCCTCCGCCTCCCCCTCCCCCTCCTCCTCCTCCTCCTCCCTCTCCTCCTGCCGCTCGTCCTCCTCCCCCTCCTCCTCCTCCTCCTCCTCCTCCTCCTCCTCCTCCTCCTCCTCCTCCTCTCATCCCTCTCCTCCTCCTCCTCCTCTTCCTCCTCCTCCTCCTCCTTCTTCTCCGAAGTGTTCGTGAACCGGGGGGGGAGGGGAAATGCGGGGGGGAAGGCGTCTACCTGTCGTGCCCCGCGTGGGCCCACGGTGCCAGTTTGGGGGCCATCTGGAGCCCACTTTAGGGCAAGTTTCCTGCAAGCCTCAGCCCCCCCATTTTGATGGCCGCCCCGTTGGCAATCCACCGGCCCCTTCTTCCTCCCCTCCCCTGCCGGTCTCCTGGGGGTCCTGGTGCCTCCCCATCCTGGTCTCTTGGAGAGGAGCAGTGGATACCCGTATCCTAGAGACTCGATGTGAACCCGTATCCTCTGCGCATCGGCCTTTTCGCGCCCCCAAAGCAGAGAGTCCAAGGCACAGCGGGCATGGAGAACAAGAGGAGACGAGGAGGAGGAGACGAGGAGGAGGAGGAGGAGGAGGAGGAGGAGGAGGGGGAGGAGGAGAAGGGGGAGGAGGAGGAGGAGAAGGGGGAGGAGGAGGAGGAGGAGGAGGAGGAGGAGGAGGAGAGGAGGAGGAGGAGGAGGAGGAGGAGGAGAGGAGGAGGAGGAGGCACGCGCGCGCGCCGATTGGGCCCCCCCCGCGTGTCCTTGCGGAGGCGGGGCTGCCCGCCCTCCTCGCCCGAGGCGCGGGGCTGCCCCGTCGCCTCCTCGGCGCGGACGGCGAGCTACGGCTGGGCGCTCGCCTCTCTGAGGCGGAGGGGGCGAGGAGGGGGAGGAGGGCGAGGGAGGGGAGGGGGGAAGGGGCAGAGGAAGGGGGGGGCTCTGAGATCTGGTAATTATGGATGGGGTCTCGGGCCACGCGGCCTTCGCAGAGCGTTCGGGAACGGTCTGAGAGCGTTTCCGAACGCTCTGGAGCGGCTTTATCCTCGTCCCAGCTCCGTCCGACGAAAGGTCAGGGGCCCGTATCTCGAAACATCTAATCTTAGGTCGGGCATGTCCTCCTACAGGCGGATCTTGGGCGAAAAATTTAAAATGCTCAAACAATGCTCCGCAACAATCACAACCAGTTGAAAAATCGTCACCGCACTAATTCTGGACTATACTATTATTTTTGAAGATTCCACCTGAAGAAGGACATGCCCGACTCAATCCTAGCTCAGTCCAACGAGACGTCATGGGCCCGTACCTCGAAAAATCTGGACGCCAGATGTCTGGGGCTGATGCGGTCGGGGACTCCTGCTCGCCGCGGGTCGCGGCGGCGGCCCCAAATGGCACGCCGTGTGCCTTGCGAGCAGATAGCGCATGCCGCTCCGCTCCGAGGCGCTGACGTCTGGGGGCTGGGACATTGATAGCGCGTCACGCCGCAGCGTGGTGGGCCAGAACTCGAGTAGTGGATGGACTACAAAAGGGACTTACCACAGACTTGTTCGTCGACTCTACGAAGAAAGAACTCAGAATCCCGACGAACAAATCTATGCATGTTTTCATGTGATGTAGCGAACAAATGAACTTTGTGGTATACCGGTTCTGTAGTCTGAAATCGATCCTCTACTCGAAGAACTGGCGGAACGACACGCTGAGCCAATTTCCCATTCGGTTCTGTGTCGCAGAGACGTGGGTCACACCGATTTCGGGCCAGAGCTGGCCGTGGGGCAGCCGGTTGTGCACTGGCGCGCTGGGGGAAAAGGCAGGTGAGCCCGCGGAGGCGGTCAGAACGCGATGGTCTCCCCGCGCGAGAGGGCCATGGACACGCCAGGCACGTGGCATCCACATGCGCCCAGAGCCATCAAGAGGGCAGCGTCGGCACGCCAATGGCAGGAGAGTGACAGGAACCGGCGGCACGGCGAAGGAGGAAGAGGTGGCACGCCCACCGTTCCCGTAGGAGATCGACCAGTTGCAGAATCGGTTGACCACGAAATGGAAAGTTCGGCTTCATCTACAAAGGTGATGAGATCCCAAAAATACCTAGGAAGATGTTACATTCGGGGATGGACAGACCTCCCTTTAGTAAAACGTGGTTTAGTGAAAACGACTTCGGGCCCAAACCTGGCGGGCGCAAGCCTGGAAAATAACGGCCACGGCGCCCTCTCGAAAACCAAAAACGGACAATTCACTAATCGACGTGTCACTGTTGGGGGTTCTGTCCACCCCCGTTACATATCGTTCGAGTTTCCGACGGAACACCAGCCTCGGGCAACAGCAACTCTGCACTCGATCTCCGACCCGAGCCCTGACGGCCGAGCTGCAAGGAGGAAGCGCGTGGTCCTCGGTCGGGCTGCCGAGGAGCTGGCTGTCCTCTGAGCCTGCACACCACAAGAAGGCCGCGGCAGGGGGAGCCGGGGGCAGTGGCAAGCAGAAGGGCAGCGGCTGTCCTCTAGCCTGCACCCCAGTAAGAGGGGGAAGACAAACCTACCTCGCTTTTGACCACCCTCGCTTCCAAGAGATACCAGACGATGCCAAATTGCGGCCTCTACTGGTCAGGCCGCTGGACGAGGAGGCGCGTGGTATGGCTTGGTTTTGCCTGGAAGCGAAAGCGGGGTAGGTAATTCACGCTCTGAAGTAAGATGGTCACGGCAGGGGGAACTGGGTGAGCTCAATGAAAGCGCGTTCCCTGGGGCCTGCGAGCTGCTGTTGACGGTCCAAGACCCTGGCCAGGGCCCCTGGATGCTCAAAAACCACCCGCCGTGATTGTCGCCACGACGCGACGAGGTCTGGGCTGGACGGCTGTCGGGTCACAGCTCGGGCCTCCGGCGGCCGCTCGGGACTATCTGGGCACCCCCGGAGTGATCTCGGCAGGGTGTGGCTTCTGGAGAGCCCCCCGAGGCGAGAAAGCTTCCAAGAGCCACCAGAAACTTCTAAAAACTTCGCTGGCCCCCCAGTCAAAATATATCAGCCGCAGCCCCAGAGGTCCCGACCGTTTCCCTGGGGCCAGCTATTCGCCCAGGATGCTTTATTTGATGACGCTGGGGCCGGGGAGTCTGAGGACGAAGTCGAGGAAAACACCGCCGGCGGAAAAAAATACTTCCGAAAACGGAGGTCTTCCCAACGGGGTCCGAGTAGATGGGGTCAGAGAATCGCGGCGCATCGCCGATGCATCGCCGATGCATCGGCGACGGCGGCGTGGAAAATATCGGGCTCCACATCGAGCCGCATCGCCCGTGCATTAGCGATGCGGCGCGATGCTCCGACCCAGGGGGAGATGAGGGTTCAGATGATGATGAATACGAGATTGATGATGCTGGTGATGATGACCGTCATGATGATAACGAAGATGTTGGTGATGGTGATGATGATGATGATGATGATGATGATGATGATGATGATGACGTTGATGATGATGCTGAGGATGATGGTGATGATATGTGTGGTGATGATTATGACGGGGATTGGGAGGATGAGGATGAAGGCGCGGATGAGGATGGCTGTGATGATGATGCTGATGACGATGATAGGTATTACCATCACCACCACCATCATCATGATCACCCCCGCTCCATCATCATCATCATCATCATCATCATCATCATCATCATCATCATCATCATCATCATCACCATCATCATCACCACAATCATCACCACCACCATCATCATCCTCACCATCAGCATCCTCGTCATCACCACCACAACACTTCCATCACCATTATCACCACCATCATCATCATCAACAGCAGCAGCATCATCATCATAAGCAGCATCGTCGTTGTCATCATAAGCATCGTCATCATCATCATCATCATCGTCGTCATCATCATCATGATGATCATCATCATCATCACCATCACCATCACCGTCACCATCATCACCATCACCATCACCATCACCATCACCATCACCAGCATCATCACCATCACCATCACCATCACCATCACCATCGTCACCATCACCATCACCATCACCATCACCATCATCATCATCATCATCAACATCATCATCATCATCATCGTCATCATCATCATCAGCATCATCATCATCATCATCATCATCATCATCAGCATCGCCATCACATATGAGGCCTCCATCTGGGAGGCCTTGAACACAATTGACTACCTACCAGACCACCCCAACCCAACCCGAAGACCCGAATTTGACTCGAATTTCGGGTTGGGGGGGGTACGGGTTCCATGTGTTTTTTCAATGTTCCCCGACCCCCCCCCCACTGGAAATCGAGGATTAATTTGGGCCTTCGGGTTGGGTTGGGGTGGTTTGGTGGGTGGTGAACATTGCCGGGACAACCTCCGAAGCCGTGGCCGACCGCTACGCCGTCCCCGCTCCCGTGCGGCGGGCGCCTCTCGGGCCTGGGCGATGCGGGCGCCGGCGGCGCGGGCGGGGAGCCGCAGCGGCTGCGCGAGCGGGAGGCGCTCCGCCTCCTGGCGGGCACGGGGGGGCCTCCTTGGACCAGAAACGAAACGACAGCCACCAGCGGCTACGCGCGCGCTAAGGTTCTGGCCGACCGTGCCGTCGTTGTCAATGGACCTTGCGCTAATCCACGATGCCCAGAATACCAAAGAGGAGAGGCCCCTAGGAACGGGCCGCTCTTGGCGTGTGGAGGTGCTGGGCGTCCCGGGGGATAATAACCTCAGGTTCCCTGGGCGGTCGCGGAACCGTGCGAGATGGACGTGCGACGCGTCGGAAAGCTCCGTACTCCAGATTTCGTAATAAAAGGGAGAGGGTCTGGACCCTCCAAGACAAGCCATGTCAGGCCTCCCCCGTGGGAGAACCCTCCAAAACATCGTCCCCAGACCCCCGCAGGCCCTCCAAGATAGCCCGGAAGAGACCCCCCCCCCGAAATGAGACCCCCCTCCCTTTATTACGAAATCTGGAGTACACAACTAACGGTCATCTGGGCTCGCGATCACTTCCCCAGGACTGGTGTTGCATCCCGAATCGTTGTTTGACGGTCCCGATGCCTGGTAAGGGCCCCGAGAAGCCGAAAAGGATTATGCAAAAAAACTCCGCCTCAATCTTTTCGAGACGGAAGATGTGGGTCTTTGGGAACCCTGGGGCTCGCGGACGACAACGATCACATGCCGTGGCCTTCCGAGAGTCCAGGTGTATCAGGGAGGGCTGCCACGCTGAAGAGGTGTTCCCGCGCCGTGGCCGTGGTGGCAACGGACGCATGCACACGTCTTAAGGAATGAGCTAGCCGGGCTGCTGACGGAAGGAGCGCTAAATAAGAAACGAAGCCGCTTTTTGGCACCCCAAGGTGCACGAGGAGGGCTGTAGGGACAGCCAGGGATTAACCATTAACCCGACTGGGTGCTGCTAGAAGGGTCCCTGGCCCAAGGTGCCCCCAGCCTTTCGCACCAATTTGGAACCCTTGGGGCCCACTGGGCCTCGTGAGGGGTGCTCTGGAGGCCGTCCGGGCCACCCCGAGAATCCTGAGGGTGCCTTGGGCCCCAGGGACACTTCTGGCATCGACACCCGACCTGAGGAACGGCGAGCCCTTGCCGAAATCGAAGCGGTCCTTCTTCCGGCGTCTGGGATGTGCGACCCAGCGATGTTGAGCAGATAAGCGTGTTCTCACAACGGGGGATCTCCGAAACGGGTGCGCAGCAGCGTCGCGACCACTGCACACGGCGGGTCGTCGGCGGGGTGGTGTCGTTTAGCTCTTGATCGGCTCCTCTCCGCGTCCCCTCCAAGCAAGGTCCGCTTCGATCCGATCATCCTGTTCGATATCGCTTCCGGGCGGCCCGAGCAGGCTCGATCCCCATGTTTTCCGACGACCCGGTGCGGCCCGAGGCTTGAACGGCGCTGTGGTGCATCCTGGCGCGGCCGATCTGACTCCATTCTAAGCCAGGCCAGATCCGCTGACCATCCCGATCCGACCCGATTTCCTGTCTCGGTTTAGGTCGGGCCTGTTCTCTTACAGGCGGGCTTCGGAAGAAACATATAAACCAGTCAAAAAATTATTCAAAAATAAACACAAAAACTAAGAAAAGTCGTCCCCAGACTATTTATGGACTACGTTTGAATGTTCCTCCTGTAGAGGGGCACGCCAGACTTTCAGACTCGATGCTGATCGCACCTGCATCGGCTGGGCTGCGCGCCCAGGGCCCAAGAGAGAGGGGCAAGCCTCCTCGAAGGAGGCGGCGGGGCTTCTCGGCGGCCCTCCAGCCTTCTGAGAAGCCCCCCCTTGGCTCTTCAGAGAAGGTTTGTTGGAGGCCTGGAATTGGGCAACATCACCACAGGAGGTTCCCTCCACAGGGATAAGATGATCCTAGATGGTGGTACCGGTTGCAACAATTCGGCCACTTGAAAGAACCCGAATATTACACACCATCACCGAGATCGGGAGCTCGATCTTGGTGTTGGCGTCAACCTCTAGGCCTCCGAGTTTGGGAAGCTTTCTCAGAAGGCCATGAGGGCCTTCTGGAAAGGCCCGCCCCCTCTCGCTCACCCCTTCGGGGATGGACAGACCTCCCTTTAGTAAAGCGTGGTTTAGTGAAAACGACCTCAGGCCCAAACTTGGCGGGCGCAAGCCTGGAAAATCACGGCCGCGGCGCCCTCTCGAGAACCGAAAACGGACAATTCACGAATCGACGTGTCACTGTTGGGGGTTCTGTCCACCCCCGACCCCTGGGCGCGCCGCTGCTGCAAGGCGCTTGCGTCTGGGAGGGCCGAGGCGGGCGGGAGGAGGCGGGCGGGCGAGGATGGAGGGCGTGCGAGCCTCGGGTCGGGCGTAAGGGGGGGATTAGCAAAGGCGGGGGAGGAGGAGGAGGAGGAGGAGGAGGAGGAGGAGGAGGAGGAGGAGGAGGAGGAGGAGGACGAGGAGGAGGACGAGGAGGAGGAGGAGGAGGAGGAGGAGGAGGAGGAGGAGGAGGAGGGGGTTTGAGACTCAGCTCACGCAGCTGATTCTCCCGGCGCCTCCCGGCGCCGGAGGCGGCCATGTGTCGAGGCATGGGCCCCTCGGTGGGGCCGAAACCGGCTGCATGCCGCAAACCTCGTAGCCCCCCCTTTCCCAATCCCTCCCTTTCGCCCGGCCCGGGAGTCGGAGGAGGGCGCGCGAGTCGGAGGAGGGCAGGGACGGCTGGCTCTGCCTGGAGAAGAGGTCGGGATCGACCCGGGGAGGGGTCCGGGGACGGTTTCTGAGCGGGTGTCCTCAGGAATCTCTGGGAATCCCTACAAATCCCTACGACCCCCGAAGAACCCTTAAGAATCCCTCGAAATCCCCTCGACTCCCTACAGCTCCCAATGAATCCCTATGACTCCCTAGGACTCCCTAGGAATCCCTGCGAAGCCGATGTGAGCTGGGCGGGAGCGCCGCCGCTGTCTCCACTGGGCCTCCTCGGAGTGAGGGCGAGGGGGCGGAGGAGGAGGGGAGGGGCAGGAGCGAGCGAGAGGATGAAGGAGGATACGGGTGGCGGTGATGCTGCTGCTCATTCTTCCTCCTCCTCCTCCTCCTCCTCCTTCTCCTCCTCCTCTTCTCCTCCTCTTCTCCTCCTCTTCTCCTCCTCTTCCTGCGAGCCCCCTCCTCCTCATCCACCTCATCCAACTCCTCCGCCCTCCTCCCGCCCCTCCTCTGACCCACTTTTCTCCACGAGTACGTGTGGTGTCAGAACGTGGACAACATGTATGTCGCGGGGCCCGCGGGATGGGGCCCTACTGGATCGGACCCTGTCGGGTGGGGCCCCGTGTGGGAGTCACGTGGGATGGGACCCTGCGAGGCGCCTGTGCATAGGACACTGCGGGTTGGACCCCATGGGACCCCATGCGGTGGGATCCTAAGGGCCTCATGGGCGCGACTCTATGGGTTGGACCCTATGGGACCCTGTGCGGTTGGACCTCAAGGAAGGGTCTCATGGGTGGGACCCTGTGGGGTAGACCCCGTGGGTGGGGCCACCTGTGAGCCCGACACGGGGCACTCTTCGCAAGTCCGGCCCCCGAAATCAGTTCCTCAGTTGGCGCAGTAAGAGCCCCCCAATGACAGCATGCGCGCTCAAGATCACGGGTGAAGAGAATACGTTTGCTTCCTCCTCCTCCTCCTCCTCCTCCTCCGCGGGAGCGCGCGCGGGCGGCGGAGGGAGGGGAAGGAGAGGAGGAGGAGGAGGAGGAGGAGGAGGAGGAGGAGGAGGAGGAGGAGGAGGAGGAGGGGAGGAGGAGGAAGAGAGGGAGGAGGAGAGGAGGAGGAAGAGGAGGAGGAGGAGGAGGAGGAGGAGGAGGAGGAGGAGGAGGAGGAGGAGGAGAGGAGGAGGAGGAGGAGGAGGAGGGGAGGAGGAGGAGGAGGAGGAGGAGGAGGAGGGGAAGAGAGGAGGAAGAGAGGAGGAGGAGGAGGAGGAGGAGGAGGAGGAGGAGGAGGAGGAGGAGGAGGAGGAGGAGGAGGAGGAGGAGGAGGGGGAAGAGGCGTTGCCCTAATCGAACGGGGCGCGGCGCCCCCCCACCGCGGCCGCGCGCCCCGCCAGGGTGACCCCGCGCGTCCGCCGCGCGATAGGCGGACCGCCTCGCCCGCAGGGCCTGCCCCCAACGGGGCTGCAGCGGGACAGCCGACGCCAGGCCGCGGGCCGTGGCCCGAGGCCACACGGCCTCCACCAGGCCGAGCCCGCCTGGCACCGCAGGCTGAGAAGGCTACGTGCTGCGGACCGCACGCTGCTACGAGTACGTGCAGCTGCCGAGCGACTTCGGCAGCATCATTCAGCTATGGGAGGTTGGAAATGTTCGAAGTGCAGCACTGCCAATGGAAGTTCTTTCTGGTATTGTAAGCAGTGTGGCGGCGCATATCAGCAGAATGGAGCTAAGAGAACGTCATCACGTGGGAAGTCCAAGCAGGATGCTCGTGACAGATCGGCAAGCCGCAAGAGAAGAGAAGGTCCAGTTCGCGAAGTTATCAATGAAATAGGGCCGATGCATCCAAATCTTGCCAGAGTTGCCGAATCGTGGATCCCACCGCCGCCGCCAGATGAAAAGGAAAGAGTTAAAGAGTACAAACAAAAGCAATGGAAGAGGATATATCAGTTGGCGGAGCTAATCATATCTCTCAAGGCCGCAGGCAAGTCAGCCGCCATCGAGACCACGGAAGTGTCTGTTCTGAAGGCAGCCATTTTGCAGCTTTTGCCTCAGGCCGAGCAGCAGAAGTCAATCAGCAAGCGAGCAGACATTCTAAAAGATAAGATACAAAGAGTTGAGAAGCAGCTTGGTGAGTTGGTCAATGAAAGAGATGATTTGCACAAGCAGTTCGCTTTGGCAAAAGAGCAGCTCAGTACATTTGATCAGGACCAGCACAAGCATCTATCTGCCGACATGGATTCGCATATGCAAGTTGATCAAGACAATGTGCCTGCTCGGCCACCACCGCCACCACCTCAGGCACCGCAGCGCAGGAGTGCCCAGGGGACCGCGGCTGGATTGGCTCGCCCCCCACCCCCGCCCCCTC